TGTGTACAAGATCTCGCCTCTATTTTGGGACCGTCTCCATCGTACACGGCTCGACGGACGGCAGCATGCGAATTGCCGGCCTCGTGGATGGCCGACGATATGAAGAAAGTCTTGTTAGTCCCGCCTTAGACCGTGATGCGGGAAGCGGTGTGCAGTGCGAAGAAAGCCGAGAGAAGTGGTTCTCGGCGATGTGATGGATGCTGAGTGATGGTGGAGGGCTAGATTCTGGCCTGTCTTCAACTCCGACATCTGGATTACACTATCATAGATTTCCCAATTGGGAAGCAGCGTAAACAGATGCCACGGTCGCGCCTTCCTTTTGCTCGCCGTTGACCAAAGCACACCCGCAGAAAACAACATCAGGCCATTGTTCTGCACACAACCACACATGCCCTCTGATCGACAGCTTGTGAACCACGTTCAATTCTCCGACAGGAGCCCTGCCAAAAGCTTCACCACGAGTGCGAACTGATACCGAACGAGTATCGTACCACTTTGTTTTGCGTCAACGTCTGCCATGGCTGGCAGCCCCCACCGTGACGGCATTGACAGCCACGAGGGCACCTGAAGTAAACTTTGTCGTATGATGTTGTTTGATGAGCAAGCCTGAGGAACCAGGAGCGAGCTTCGATATGATCTTCCATGCAGATGACTGATCATCATGCGCCAGGTTTGCGGTTGGAGAACCTGAGGCACAGAACAGAAACCGGGACTCAGGCATCCGTCGGGACGGATTATCTGAGTGCTGCCGTGCCGCACGTGCGATGGCGATATCTGCGGAGAATTACCTATTCGATCAGAGTGGCCGATTGTTCGCACTGCGCTGGTTTCATGGGCATCGTGTACGTCAGAGCCAGCGGTAACGCGAATCGGCTTGCGTAAAGGCGTTTTGCAAACTCTTCGCCGACACCATCAACGAAGTAGCGGTATAGAACTGGATAATCACCTGAATAATGTCTCTGCCGAGAAACAGTCACCAAGTCTTAGACAATGGCTACAAACCCACGTGAACGCGAAGATTCACGCCTAGCTCCGCCCTCGCTACACTACCTTTGCCAAGCTAGCGAGCATCAGCCGTTCAAAGGATTGATAGGATAGACTAAATTGGCGGCGCGATCCAGGACACTGGCACCGTGGCTGCAGAGAGGCTGGCGTCGCATGCAGCATCACAGCAGCTCAGCCAATCGCGCCGCCCACACGCCCAATCGTCCACGAAGCGGGTCAAGCGGCTACGAGCGACCATCTCTCCCCCCAGCGCGCGCCGAGCCAGAAGAAGAGTGCGACAAGGGTGCGCGATGCAAGGCCCTGGCGCATAAACTGTCTCTACAATTGCGGTCGACACCCGCTGTCGCTCCCGATATACTGACACGCCTGCCGTCGCGAAGCTCAACGGCAACACCACGCTGCCTGAACACCTAACACGCCTGATACTCGCCTACGCCTCAGCCCACCATAACACCTACCCACTATACACTCCACTCGAGTTGCTCCGTGCCTGATCTCCCCAGAAGCCTTACCGCTTTCGCCACGCCTGCGAACCGCCCATCCGCGACCAGGCCAGTGTCTATAACACAAAACCTCGCCCTGCCACACCCAAGCCCATCGATGCTCATCTGTCGCTGAGGGACTACTGGTAGTCGAAGGGACATTTCCACTTTCTTTTCTTCATTTTTTCTATTTACCTTTATTTTCTCACCTATACGACCGCGGGCTCGGTTTATTGCTCGTATCCTTTCTTTATAATACCCGTATTTCGACAATGGGCAAGTTAATCAAGAACCACTGGGCGCGCCTCGTCATCCTCACGGCTGCTGCGTGTAAGTCTTACCCCACAGCCATCGACACCAACACCAACACCATACTCATTACAACTCCAGATCAAATAGGAGCTGCACTCGAATGCTTCTTCTGGCCCAAGATCTTCTGGGACTTTGCTACCAAGAACCTCGATGGCGCCGTAAAGCCCATCCCCGTACTCCAGGTCATCAACATGATTCTCGGCTTCATCGGTCTAGCATGGGAATGGCCATTGCCGCTGCTCGCCGGCACGGGACTGCACCGCTCGATTGAAGCGCGCCTGATCATCTACCCGCTCAGTGCGCTGTGTGCGCTCTTGATCTACCAAGGCACCAACTCGGGACTCTACTACATCATCGGCATGGGAGCGTACTTCTGGGCGTTTAGCGAGGGCGAGGTATGTACCATTCTAGCCCAATCATACATCGACGTACTAACGTAATTCAAGGTCGTCTGCCCCGAGCCATGGACTCTCCCCAAGCGTGGTTCCACAGCCCGCAAGATGACCGCATAGTCTGGTTCTTCCGTAGACAGCAACAATGCACCTCAACTTCGCTTCTCAACAAACTATACCCGCACACGCCTTTCTATGTACAATGTCCACGTAGACGACGTACCACTCCCAACTCTCTGGCAGACCACCCACCATGATTTAGCGATTTTCCGGAACCGCCCACGAGCGGAGGCGTTCATACTCAGCATCGAAGACGAGCAGCAGCATTCATCTCACGATACCAAAATCCCCAACAAACGAGCAGTCGAACATCCTATCCCAACCAGAACGCACCGAACGAGCCTATTTACTATTTCACGGCGTCATGCAGCGAATGTACGGGCGCTAGGTGTTTGCACTACCGAACAACTTACAAACGAACAAAAATGAATCAATAACCAAAAACACATTATGACGCATTTGCTCACTGCACTTCTCAGTCCTTTCACTTATCTTTCTCACCCAACGTTACTATTCTCCAAGGATTTACCCTTTTGCCTTTTGCTGTGACTGCTGTGACATCTCTGACATGACAAAACCTGAGGCAACTCCTCGTTTCAGCCCCATCCACACCCCACAATTCCCTTCCCGTTTGGCTCTCTCGCTGTATGCGGTGTATGCCTTGGCCTAACGGGCTTCTGACAGCTTGCGCCTCAGTCAAGATTGTCAAGGAAATTGGCTGGAAGGCTTTGCCTTGGCTAGGGTTCAAGGTGAATGACATGCCTTGCGTGTCTACTAATCTGAGATGTGAAGTTGGCATCACACGCCATATGGATTACTATGCCCATGAAACTCGCTGTTATCCGAGTGTTGCACCACCGTTTGTCTAGCAGTGTCTGCTCGTGCAGTGACCTGGCACGAGTATGATGTGGATGCCTGAGTGTACCCGCAAATCGTTCTAGACTCCGCACGAAGAACATGATAGCAATGTCGATCTTTAAGAAGATGGTAGATAGTGCGGTGTTGGGTTTGGCATTCGGTGCGGAGGTAGTGGTAGGCATAGTGAGCATGGAGCTGGAATTATTGTGGATCTGCGGAGACGTATGTTAGCGTTTGTCTAATCGGAAAGCAGGAGTAGGATGCAAGAGGGCAATCACTTGCTTGCTGATCAGTTATGATGCCATATTTCCCTGCCCAAGGCACTACCTTTGGCGCTTGAAGCTTACCTTGCTGCGCCAGCCATCGCTGGAGTGCTATCACGAATGCTTTGAAGAGTCAGTTCTGGGCGGCTTAGAGGTTAGTACATTCATTGTCCGCCACACAAATATAGGTAGGCTCTCATGGCCGGATCTTGCGGAGATATGATCACTACGAGAGTGTTTGGGTAAAGATAGATGACTGAGGCCTTGAAGCTGTGCTCGCGCTGGTAGGCGCATGATTGCGACGCCTGTGGGAAGGCATCAGCGTGGATGTGGCTTTGAATGGCTGGGCTGATTACAGAACTACGTGTGTACGACCACAGCACCGCGATATCGCAAAGGAAATATTATACGTTGCTCTTGGGTGAGCATGGCGCGTCGCTGCGAGTAGGAAGGCGCGTCGAGGCGATGGTGGAGGGATGACGACAATACCTCGACGCGCCGTCGCACAGACCAACATGATTTCGCGTGCGCTCCTTAACCCTCCATTGCTTTCTGTGTCTCTCTCTATCATGCGCGCAACATATGGAATCGCGCTATCGAATTTCTCTCGATTTGGCCTTGAAGGTGTGTGGTCGCGTAAGGTAGGAACCTGGCTCGCCATATTAGCAGTGGCCAATGGCCCTCAGATGGCTATTTATCCTACTCGTTCCAGCCTCTCCCGCGCAGGAAAGTCCTGCAGGTCGCACGCATGTTTCTCGTGGCTCTGCATGTGCTTACTGTCAGCTCTCCATGGTCATTTTGTTCTATGATAAGTTCACTTCGCCTGTCGCGCTTCTTCGCAATGATCCTTCTACCTTCTCCCCTGGACCCTCGACATGCTGCTCCAAAGCGTTTTCTTGCTATATTTTCCTATAATAACACAGGCTCGTACGCATCTCGCACGTACTGCCCAGGTGATTGAAGCAAGACAGCTCAGCAATGAGACGACATACGATTTCATTGTTGCTGGTGGTGGCATTGCGGGGCTCACGGTTGCAGATCGTTTGACGGAGAACCCAAATGGTACATCCATCGCATGCTCGAAAGGCTGCAAATTAATCATGAGCAACAGTCACTGTACTAGTCATCGAGTATGGCCCGTTTGACCAGAGAGAAGATGATGTCATGATCCCTGGCGCCTATTTTCCGGTGCCTTACCTCTGGCTGCCGTTGATGAGTACGCCACAAACAGCGCTTGGTGGTACATCGTATGGTGTGCCATGTGGCAGAGTGGTGGGCGGCGGGTCTGTTGTGAACGCCATGTTCTTCCATCGATCAGACGCAGAGCTCTATAACGCTTGGGAAGAACTTGGTGCGACTGGCTGGGGATGGGCTGATCTGTTTCCGTACTTCAAGAAGGTATGGGTTATTCTTGTTTTGTGAGCTGTATGCTGACGAGGAGAAGAGTGAGACGTTTACAGCACCGGACGCGGATTATGCAGCTAGTCACAACATTACCTGGGATGCTTCCGTACATGGCTTTGCGGGCCCAGTGCAGGCTAGCCATGCTCCTTATGACTACCCGGGTAGCGGTGAGTCTCTAGCGACCCAGCTGAAGTATCTGAAAGCTCACTTTCAGGGTAGCCAATATGTACAGCGGAGCTCTCAGTCTGGGTATCCAGCCAGCTCTAGACCCCAACGATGGTCGTGCTCAAGGCATATTCCGCCTCCTTCGCTCTGTTGATGCCAAAACGCAGACGCGTTCTTCGGCTCGAATCAATCGCTATGACAGGGACACTGCGAGACCAAACTACCACATCCTTTCGAATACAGCGGTATCGCGCATTCTGTTCGAGAAAGTCACCGCTGGAGGCGTGGAGTATATTGGTATGACCAGTGGCGAGAAGCACACTGTCCGAGCGAGCAAAGAAGTCATCATAGCTGCTGGAAGCGTTCATACGCCGCAGATCCTACAAATTTCTGGGATTGGCGACACTGCTCATCTGAAGAGCTTGGGTATTGAGACTGTCTCAGATCTCCCTGGTGTCGGTCGAAACCTGCAGGATCATCTGGTTCTGAAAGTGAATTACAACTGTACGCGACTGAACTCCATGTTTATCATTTATGGGCCGGCTGATTGATACAGATACATCTAATCACTTCCCGAATGGCGGTTCATTGCAGTCCAACGCCACGTACGCCACAGAACAACGCGCTCTCTACGACGCTGGAACAGCAAGCGCATTCGACCTTACTGGTACAACTGGCAATCTCATGATTCAGCTACCGCTTCCAAACTGGACAAACGACTCCGCATCCATCATATCTCGAGCGTCCTCTCTCTCGGCGAGCGATGTGCTTGGTAGCGACGTGGACCCATCAATTCTCGCCGGGTATGAAAGACAGCGTGCCATCATCCTCAAGGACATCAACGTAGAGGCCGTGGGCGGTCTATCATGGAACACCGGCCCAGAAACAAGCATCTACATGACCCGCCCTCTCAGCCGTGGCTCTATCAAGATAAACTCAATTAGCATCCTTGACGCTCCACTCATCGATTACGGCGCGCTGACAGACCCAACCGACCTCGACATGTTATATGCGATCTATATGAAGAACCGCGAACTAATGGCAACATCTGATATTGCCATTCTCGGTCCCATAGAGACAGCACCCGCACCGGGCATCAGCAATGAGCAAGATATCAAGGAGAAGATCAAAGCGACATTGCAGCCAAGTAACGCGCATCAGTGCTGCACTGCTGCTATGGTGCCAAGAGAAGATGGCGGGGTCGTTGACCCACAGAATAGAGTCTATGGCACGTTCGGACTCAGTGTGGTGGATGCGAGTACGTGGCCGCTTGTTGCTGGTGGTGGGCCGCAGGCTAGTGTTTATGCTGGAGCTGAGAAGGTAAGGTTATGATGCAAATATGTTAGTATTTATGTATACTGACGATCTACAGGCTGCTGATATGATCAAGAAGCGTCACGGTTTGCTTTGAGGTCCATCTCTGGATGTCCTTGGCGTTCGTAAGCCGCGGTGTGGACATGGAGAAGATGTCGGGGTTTGCGGAGTTATCGCTCTTGACTATCTGTCGGGCGTTGATCTCATCTCACGTGTAGTCTACATTCAATGCATAGTACTCTGAGGCAGCACCGAGGTGTTTGAGCGTGGTTACTAAATGGATTCTTGCATCAAGAGCTATATATACTTGAGCCTACGAGGAGCAGTTCTTCACTTCACCAACTAATCGAGTCGCACTCGAGATGGATACTTCAAAGCTTTTCAGTGTCGAAGGCATGATCGCAGCGGTGACAGGTGGAGGCACAGGTACCCTCTCTTCTTACCATCATCTCATATTGATACCTCCTTCACTCCTAACACCAGTGTTAGGAATCGGCCTCATGATAGCTCACGCCCTCGCCTCCGCGGGCGCGTCCAAAGTATACATCCTCGGGCGCCGCGAAGACAAACTTTCCACCGCAGCCTCTCAACACGAAAACATCATCCCAATCCAATGCGATATCACATCCAAAGAGTCCCTGCAAGCCGCCGTGGACTTCATCACCCAAGATATAGGCTACATCAACCTCCTTGTCGCAAACTCCGGTATCTACGGTCCACCGTCAAGTTTCATGCCCGGCTCAAGCGTCAAAGAACTGAGGGAGCATATGTTCGAGAACACATCTATGGAAGACTTCACGCGGACCTTCCACGTCAACACTACCGCGACGTACTTTACCATGCTGGCTTTTCTCGAACTATTGGATGCAGGAAACAAGAATGCCATAGCCGGGGGGTTTGGTAGACCGTTGAAAGAAGGTAGCAAAGTACCGAGTATACAGTCACAGGTCATTTTCACGTCCAGTGTAGGCGCTTTCCTGCGTGAGTGGCAATGCGCGCCAGCATACGCGGGGAGTAAAGCAGCAATTATGCATTTGGTAAAACATGCCAGTACGGGGCTTGCGCCGCATGGTATCAGAGTCAACGCTCTAGCGCCTGGATGTCCATCTTCCCCTCCCCGCAAACCTACCCTTCCGTGGCTAACAGCGTGTCAGTCTTCCCATCTGAGATGGCCAATGCAATTATCGAACGCAGAGACCCCAGTACAGAGAGCGTCGACGATGCGAACTTCATTCCCGCACGAAGGTTTGGCGGAGAGGAGGAGATGGGTGGGACGGTGTTGTATCTTGCGAGTCGGGCGGGGAGCTTTTGCAATGGGTTGGTGCTTGTTAATGATGGGGGGAGGTTGGGTGTTACGACGAGCACTTATTGAATATGGTTCATGTATAAGTAGCATTCTTGAGCTGTTCGTTTACTAGTAATTAGGTAGTGATGCTATTACACCAAAGTGACTTCAATCTACGGAATGGTGCTCTCATCGCCGGCGGTCCCGATCATCCCGGCGATAGCGATCCCGACTCCTCTCCCGACGGCTGTCACGATGGCGATTTGGGCTACGGCTTCGTTCTCTCCTCTGATTATACCGTCCATCATCGCCATCGCGACGTTCGCGCTTGGGGCTTCGGCTGCGATTCCGCTTGAAGCGGTCGTCGTGATACTCCGTCCTCCGTTCACGCCTCCGTGTGTCGTCTCGTCGATCATCTCTACCGGTATCCCTCGGCCGTGGCGCGGTATCTTTTGAAACGTCGCGATCGGCCACCAAGTTGTTGACAACAGAATCCGACATGATCTGGCGTCCGGAGCCATCACGGTACTGCTTCTTCTTCTCGAGGTTGTCGATACCACCGAAGCCGCCGGCAGCCCGTCTCCGCTTCTTGTTCGTAACGTCCCGCCAGTCGTCGGCAATCTTGGAGACGGACTGGGAGAAGTCGACGTGTATGCGGTGATCGTCGATCAGAACACCATCCATCTTGAAATAGGCCTGCTCGCAGTCCTTCTGATTGGTGTACTCGATGAAGGCGTACTGCAGGCTGTCACCTGTGCGCTTGTCCCTGATGACCTCGCAGCTGAGAATCTTGCCGAATCGCGAAAAGATAAGCTCCAGATCCTCGTCTTGCGTCACTGGGTTGAGCTTGCACACGAACAGCACGTTCTCGGGCGGTGCGACTTCGGCGAATGGCAGATCACCTACCATCTCGAGCGTGAGGGCTTGTGCGCGCGCCTCACGTTCTCTGCGGACCTTTTCCAGGGCTTCCGGGTCGTTGTCCTCGTCGAGGTTCTCATCGTACGCGACGCGGACGGTGGCGAGCTGCGCGGAGGAGGGTACAGGGCTCTCGGGTGGCTCCACGAGGCCGGCGGGGTCGTCGTATGGGTCGTCGAGGACGACTGTGTGTAGTATGCGGATGTCTTTGAGTGGCTGGCCCTGGTCATCGATATATGCCGTGTTTATCTTCTCCAGCGTGTCAAAACCCTCTACCACTGTTCCGAATATGGCCGCCTTGCCGTCCAGGTAGTCGATGTTCTGTCCCAGCGTTATGATGAACTGACTGCCGGCGAACCGCTCGTCTGGATCTTCGGGGTTCGGCGCGGTCGCCATGCTGACGGTTCCCATCTCGGCATGCTTGAGCTTAGGCTTGAACTCGGGTACGAACGTCTTCTTCGCGGGCTGTGCGGGGTCGAGCAAGCCCCATATTGAGCGGCCGCCGTCGCTGTCTTTGGAACCAGGGCCGATGGGGTCGCCAGTCTGGAAGGAGAAGTTTGGTTGGACGCTATGGACGGGGGCGAAGTTGTAGTACTTGACTTTGCACAGCTTGAGAAAGCTAAGGCGACAAATTGTCAGTGTCTGTTTATGCTCAGCTTGGGGCGACAGCGGGATGGAGCATGCAGCATGCAGGTGCGAAAACCCAAGGCGCGCGTAGGGATTGGATCGACTTACTTTTCACAGCATCTGGGCGCATCGTCGACCAACAGGTCGATGGTGATATCTCCGAGTGACGTTTCCAGCAGCACAGACATGGTTTGGGCTATGTTGTGCCGAGAACGAGTGTTTGTCGCAAAGGTTCGCCAACGCGCGCGACAGCATCCGAGATCGCGTAGCCCTGGCGCTTAGTCATCATGACGTAACGCCCAATGCGGCTTAGCTCCAGGTACATGTCGCGTTTCTCCACCTTCACGTCTCGCAAGCTGCTGAGCCAATACTCCCTGGGCAACGTGCCCCAGCAGCCTTCACATCAGCCCGCGCTCCAGATCGTCGCTTGGTCCCGCTTGTCTACATGCAAGAGCAGCGTCCTGATGCATACACTACCGGCGTTGACAGATCGAACTTAGGATGCACCTGGGAGATGCAGGCTTCCACGCTTGTCAAGCCATTGTCCGGAAATAGTGCGAGTACCAAGAAAGAGCTCTGAGTAATTTTGAGAGGCGGACCGTTGAGTACTACCCGGCGTCTGACGGCAATCCCTGCACACAGATTCGGGCAGCCACTGCATTGCCTGCTGCATATCGATCCGAAATCCCCGGCCCCGTCCGTCAGGAGCATTGGACCAAAGGGCATCGTTTTTTATATTGGGCATATCTCCCCACCACCGGCTGTCAAAAGCCTGGGGCGGGCCTCTGCTTCTCGCTTCGATTTGCTACCAGCCGAAGCCTGACAGCCAGCCCAGACCAGACCAGAGCCACCAGTTCATCCTGTTCGAGGACTGCGGGATCGTCTCGCTGGAAGTGGAGGAATCTCTGTTATCACTGCTGTCTTCGAGATTGCAGGAGCTCTTCTGCTCCAGGGAGGCGACACAGCATGCCTGACAATTACAGGTGTGGTGACACTGTCACTGCGAAGACGGAGCTTCAGCAATTCGCTCATGCGTACTCGCAACCTAACTTTCCAGAGACGCACAGCAACGATGGATCCACGAGCCTTGTAATCTGCCTGTCATCCCAACCCCACGGGCTTCAGACCGGATGCGGGTATAGCCTGACCCAACATGACTGTGCGACTTGATGCACAAGCTAATGCACATCGATGCATTGAACCGGGGTATGAAGCTTTGAGCCCAGAAAGATCGCTTTACGATGATGGGTCATTTACATGGGATGCGCATCGAAGTTTGCTTGCAGCTTGGCGCTGGCCTGTGCTGCGCACATTGGCTTGTTACATCGACAGATCGAGCAATTCCGGTCCTCACCATATGTCATAGCGCTACTACTCCTAGAGCCCTCGAGGTGCAGAGCAGGTTTGTTTCACCCCCTGGCATACTCAAGCTTCGAGCGCGCTCGGACAAGTCACTCATAGTGAACACGGAACATCATTTTGAGATACGCTACGTAGCATCATCTTCATATCGGCTCTACGTGGTACCATCTGGAAGCCGGCCCATCATCGGATCCAATTCTTTTCGTTCACCGCGATCCAGAATAGGCATAGGACCCACCGGAACCTTACCCCAGCTTTCCCCCCGTATATCCGTTTGCCGTGGGGCTGTGGGATAGATGCCAGCGGTAGCATACATGTTCAATGCAGGGCTGTTGGATCGCCAATCGTACAATCCTCTGCCAACTCCCTGGATCATCCACACTGGCCAAACTTGTGAGGTTGAACAGATTGTTAGCAAATGACGTGATCGGAGGTACTACCAGCGGTATTGGCTCGTCAGTCAGCCAATCAGAGGGTCTTCAAGGAGCCTGGCTATCATCTGCAGGTACGTTTCAGCGCAAGCCATGTATGCTCGAAGCGATTAGTTGATCTGACAACAGACCCTTCCTAGGATCGAATGTGCCAATATATGCTACAAGCAGTATTACGAGACTTGAGAGCCCTTGGTAGGTTCCTTCGCTGATCGACAGCGTGTTATTCCTCAAAGAAAGCCCGTTCGTCGCAAGTGTAGCGCACTAACTCTTTTGACACCCCTGCGAGCCTGGCGCACTCGTCCTGGATTAGGACAAGTCGATTGAGAGTGTCAAATCCGTGCCTTGCATCCCGGATCCGCGGTAACACTATGTCAGTTACAAACATCCATCGACTGTTTGCGAAAGATCAAGCCTAGCTGATAACGTGGCTTCTTTGTAACGGGAAAAGTCATCAGTGTTTGTCCGATTGGGTATCTGCTAAAGCCTCACGACTACGAGATAGCCCCATCGAGGAAGGGGTGGGGGCCACATCACATACTTCATGGGTCTTCATTCGGCTCTGGCGCTTGTCATGAAGAAGTATTCACAGGCCCTAAGCCGTACAATGTTTCACCTGTCTTTCTCTCCGCGGGGCTTGGCCAGTGCTCTCTTGGAAGCGCAGGCCCAGGTTCTTGTACAGTCACCGTACCGCGCCCATGCATGCAGGTGTCCGGAGGCACTAACGAGATAGCTCTCATGGGGGACAGAGGTCACAAACAAATTCCTGATCAACACTCACACTCGAAGCCAATCTTTGGAGCCACGTTCGCCCTGCATCATCCTCTTATCCAGTATAACAGTCTTTGCCGACGCAAGGAACTCGTTTGGGTTATAAACATAATCCTGCCAGCCGATCATCGTATGACCTGCTCACCGGTTCATTACACTTTCTCCCTGGAGGAGCGCCCACGGTCCAGTCACCAACTACTGCCCTTTCTTGACTCGGGCGTTGCATCCCGCGAACGCTATCCGAATCATACCTGTGGGTAATTCGCCAACAGTCGATCTTATTGGTATCCTTGTGAGATGTAAGTCAACTCCAGGTCATGATGACTGAAATAGCTGACGTTCAGTTGATTCGTCAGTATGTCAGTCATGGAGTACGGCAGTCCGCGACGCTGTTTGCCTCACAACCTATCCTATCCGAACTACATGTACAGCGATCGCAATGCTCCGCTGTCCTTAGCCCATAATACGCGAGAAAATCCACGAGGTTATCCCATGGGTGGCCCAGTGGGCGGTATGCATAACCGAGCCAGCATGGAAGAACCCATGATGGGAAATGGGCCAGCGAGACGTCGCATTGCAGTAGCGGTATGTCAACATGTGTTTCAACAATTTCGGAAGCTTTCACGAGGAACACAATTCCTCGCGGCCTTTCTAACTATATCTTCCATAGATGCTGTTCCTACCTTTACTAACATTGTCTCCAGTGCGCGCGTTGCCGTAAGAGGAAGATCCGATGCAGCGGCGATCCTGGAAATGGTATTGGGTGCGTCAACTGTCGAACGGCTGGAGTAGAACCGGCAGGCTGTCAATTCCACAGAGTACGTTAGTTGCTTGCGTTTTGTACATCCACTTATTCAGTCAGGTGGGATCCGATTCCGTCCACAAAGTGCTAGACGACAGAAGCATGGCTTACAGCCTCAGTGGTATGGCTACCGCGCATAACAACATGATGTCCATGTACTCTACGGGAGGCAATAGCGGTCTTTATGCACGCCCCATGCCAAATCAGCAGTATTCGCAACTCGATTCGAAGCCGGCCTATTCTTCAACGTGGACTCTACCTTATTCGGAAGACACGTCGCCGGTTGACGCCTACCCTCTCGACCAGCCACCCGCATATCTACCACAGTCTACAGCAATCGCAAACACAAACATGTACACACCTGCTTATCGCTGGACTCAGCCGACTGCGAAGTCTTTGCAGCAAGGAAGCACATACTTTGATCAGGACTTGCAATTCGCTCATGCAAATGGTCGACTAGCCACACCTTCGGACGTATCCCCTCTCAATACCGGAATGTCTTCTCTGCAGTTGACTATCCCTGAGAGGCCCCATCCACGACAACCTCCCCCTATGGATTCCAGTGTGCCTAGGAGACAACTGCCAATGCCACAACCGAGCCCAGCTCAGAGCAGTCATGTTGTAGACCAGATGCAAGATGCTCGTCTCCGCTCGGCCCAGGCTATTGGCACTTCGGGTATGGACGGTAGAGGTTCTTTCGCGAAATCGTTACTACCGTGGACTTCCGACAGCGAGAGTCACGCCAACGCATCCGGGGCGGCATCTGCAGATGCCTTTACGCAACTGATATCCCCGGCCATGCCAGACAATGCGGAGAGCAGGATGACCTACATGCCAAATACAACGTCGACCGCGGACGATGCGACTGCAACCACTGCTGCATCTCAGCTAGAGCTGAACTTCAGTACATCTGGTCTTCTCGAAGGCATGAGTGCGCCAGCTCCAGCGACAAACTACTCTTATGTCCGTGAGACACGCCCAATGACACGCCCAGCCTCACAGACGAATCTATACAGCTACAGCCCTGACTCGTCGTCAAAGCGGAACTCGCTAAGCGGCGAGTCATCGAGCGATTGCACACTCGTCAGTGGTCATCGCTACACACCTCTCAGCCACAGCCAAACACGGAGCTCCCCAGGAAATCGCAGCTTGCATCGCGAGTCGTGCCAGAATCGAAACATGCAGCCTGTGCAGCTCCATCGCACCTCGATGGGAAATCTCAACAGCACTTACTGAGATACCGCTTTCAGCATCACGGCGGATCGGCCTGCCTACATCACTCTTCTTATCTCGTCACTATTGCGTAGCCCAATCCTTTCTTCACCACCATGGGGTACTTAATGGTCTGAATTTGTGCCAATGTACAACATCTCACATCGCTGCATCCTTGGACGGGGAGCTCCAGCCAGCACGCTGTTCCCTCTCTCCATCTTAGTCCGGGCAATCGACTCGTCGAGCACTCCGTCATCATTATGAACATGGCTCTCGGCCCGGTTCACGTTACGCTTTCGCATTGTCCTCAGCAACCGGTGAGCCATTTCCGGTTGGCGTTCATCAAACCATGTTTCCTTTCTGCTTATTCAACACTGTGTTGTAACGCTATGTATTCGTCTCGATGTTCTACACTGCATTGCTTTCAGCATCATTGCTACGCTACGAAACGTTACGATTGTTTTCTGCTTGGGCGGCTAATGTCTATTCCTGTACATCAGTATCACTACCATGTCTTCTCATCAAGACAAAACGCCAGGGCCGCTCCTTAAACACACCCCGCATTCTTATCACGTTCACACTCGCTCAAATTGGGAAAAGCACATGTCGCAAGCTTAGTGTGTATAAGGTTGCTGCGCATGCGATACCACGGAAACATAGGAGGTCATGTACCGGATACTTTGTACTGATTAGCATAAAAGGTGTCATGAGCGAATAATGATAATCGTAACGAGCTTCAACCCCACGGTTCCACCTGCAGAGTGAAGTAAGGTACTGTCACCACCTGACGCGCGTTGCTCACCACTCTCACGTTGTTCCAAAAAAGACATACACGTTCTTGCTTCTCCAAAGAGTTTACCTTGAGCTGCGCAACCACACTTCGACAGTATACCCCTGCCTGACTTGCAGACACCTCAGCTCACGCCTGATCGCATGTCACTTCCCCCCAAACACTCGCTGCAAAACCCCGAAAACAGACCCACACCACCTCGTAACGACATGCCCCAACCATCAATCTCTCTTCCACATACCGCTTTCCACCATCCATCTCCCCACATACATACATAGCAGGCTACACACCGCCCCCAACCTACACAACCAAACGCAGTAAACAAACGCTGCGTTTCAGAACACGGGTCTCGGCTGCATCTGGACCCTGCCGCAGGGCAGGTGCAGGCATATCCTCCCTGCTCGCGTTACACAGGACAGCCGTCGCACACGCACAAAGCCGGTCAGCAGGTGTCGCACAGCAGAACATGCAGGACTGGATGCGTAGTATGAGGCTCCACTTCTGTACGGCGCGTCTACGGGGATTATCCCAAGAGCGTTGCATGTGTGGTGGAGGAGGGTGGTGGTGGAAGGGGATAAGGGGCTGAGAGGCGGTGTGATGTGGGTGGATGGGGGAATGGTGCCGGGTGTGGTGGGGGACACGGAGGTGATGGATAAGGAGCTAGAAGGACGGGTTGTGGTATCGAAGGATTTTGTGAAAGGCTGGTTTGGGGGTTGGGATGGGGATGGGCGGTAGATGGTGGGTCGTCGCCCACCAGTGAGAGCGCTTGCCGCTGAGGGACGCTAGTGTGTTGGGTGAAGGCTCTCGCTCAGCCTTGTCTTCCCTCGTCCTACAACTGCTGCTTGCCGGTCGGACATCAAAGGTCTTTTGACCAGGAAAAGAGGCCGCGATGCTTGGTAGAATTGGCGAAGTATTGCAGACGACGTGCATCAGGCGGTGGATGTTCAGCGGCCGTGACGTCGTGGTCACATTGCGCCTGCAACGGCATCGCGATTACTCGTATTATAAGAAAAGATGAGTCTGGTCACATCTTATCGCGCTGTCAGGTCTCGGGTAGTTTTAATTTTACTTTTAAATTTGGTTCTATATGAGTTCCTCTCTTCATTAGGAGTTGACGGACTTGGATGTATATCAGCCAATGTCAGATGACAGAATCGAAAATAAATTTCACGCATCAGCTACCGTGAACCTTCCAAGCATGCATATCATCTTAGTAGAGGATGCTGCTTATTGAACGCCTGTTACTTTATGCTGGCTGTCCACTTCAAGGTGCCGCCTGTGGAGAAGCAGCACTCGTGAGTGAGCCAGCCTCCGTTTTACATGGCGATGCGACAGTATTACGGTCTCTTTGCTTAGTATTTGCAATCTTGACCAGCCGATGAGGTTTGAGCTAGTTGGATACTCAATCGAAAAAGTTGGCTATCGTCGGTTTTCAGTAGCGAGGCGTAGTGTGTTGTTCGAGATATGGACGCTATTTCCTTTCAACCCGAGATGGCGGCGGTATCATGCTCTGCGTCCTCAACACCATCCTCATCCTCAACGTCATTCACCTCCTTCTCAGCCTCGTAAAGATCGAGAAGCTCATCACAGCACGACCACCAAGTAGTCTGCATCTCCAGCTCTTGATCCAGCGCCTCAAGAAGACCCTCAGGCGGCATCACGGGCTCGAAGATGCGCGCAAAATGCGTTTTGAGCAAGTTCTCCGCAGATAACCAGCCGCCCCGACCCAGCCCCCTAATGAACGTCCAATAATTCAAACGACAATGAGGTATCTCGCGGAGTAACTTGTCTATGAGGCCCTCTGCGTAACCACCTTGGGTTACTGCGGCGACAGCGGCTTGGTAGAGACCCGACTTGAGCGTGAACTCTGCGTTTTCGGCATCGCTGGCTTCTGCTATGGCGGCGGCGTAGATCTCGCGGTAGTGTTCGTGGTTCCATGCCATGTACGGCGATTTATCGAGGCCAAATGTGTATTCTGGAAACCAATCGCTTCGGAGAAACATGGGGACGGCTGTGGCGCCGATGCAGCGTGGTGCTGCCATCGCGTTGTCCCAGTCGATGATACCTGTGACGTTGCCCTCGTCGTCGCAAAGAATGTTTTGCAGATCTAGATCATCGTGATGGAGGGTGAAAGTCTCGCCAGGCTGCCCGCGGAACACCGACTGGTGATAGAAGATAAAGTAGAGAATGTCTCGGACGCCACGTTCTTCACGCCCATCGTCTTCTTCCCATGTTTCGTTGCATAGGCGTTCGATGTTGTCAGCACTCATCTGTCTTATCTTGGCTCCAAAGCGGGCTCGAATGTACTCCTCAGTTGTAGCAGCCGGTGGACGCTTGAAAACCTCATCGCCATCTTCGTATGTACAGTGGCACGTGGGTCCAATACCAATGAAATTGCCGTCGTCGTCGAAGTTAGGTGCTCCAATGGCCTCGAATTTAAGGGTCTGAATCTCAATCATTACCTGTGCCAAAGAGCGTAGGAATTTGAGACGCTTCTTTTCGATATGGGGAGGCGGGACATCCGCATGTTGGAAAAGATCATTATCGACGGAGGGATAATCTTCTGGAAACCAGATATTGTTCGCAGGCGTGCCGGGTAACATCGTCATCAAGATGTACGGGAAACCAAGCGCGTTGTCGTGCCCAGTGGAATAGTCAATGACCTGTGCGACAGGTGCGTTTGTATTCTTGCGAATGTACTCAATTAGCTGAGCTTCGTTCTTCAGCACGTAGGAGTCTTCCTCCTGCCAGTGTGCGCGCGTACCGTGGCCAGGCACGCGGACAACGTACTTGCGAGTCTGCTCGCCTTCACAAACATTGATGAAAGTCGCTGCATTGAACGTGCCCCTCGCACGGCGCACTACGTCAACGGTAGTGGTGGGCGACGACGAAAGATCGCAGGCCTTGATCAGTTCGCAGTACTTTGCATCAGGGATGGCCGCAATCGTCTTGAAGTCGCAACGCGGGGGGCCATCTTCATCCGAATCGTCTTTGTTGGTGTTCGCGCTTTCACAATGCTTGTCCTTATCAGCACCAGGGATTGTACCCGAGTCAATAGCGGAGTTATTGCGCTTTGGCTTGTTTGAATCGGAGTTGGATGGTCGGGAGGCCTTGTGTTGCGGGAAAGCAATCTTCTTCCAGAAAGCCTTCAGACAGCCAGGCAAACGAAGTGTCTTTTCTTTTTTCACGGGAAACTGCTTTGGCTTCGCAGAGATCTCGCCTTCGGTTTGGATCACGGTATTTATTGGGACCTCGCAGGCGATAAGTACCGGCGAGTGCACAGACAGGCTGTCTTGCTTCTGGATTTGTGATCGCTTTGGATCCGAACGCAGTTCGGGAGAAAGAGAGATGCCTGGCACGAAGAAGTTCTCGCCGCAGCTAAGACGTGGGAGAGAATGTTCGGTTGCAGCCGTTGACTTTGAAGACGATGGCGAGTTTGGATCAGTATTGCAGGCTTCTGAAGTGTGAGAAGAACCCGTCGTGGCTGTCGGCGTGTCGCTTGGTAGACGAATCGGAGAGTTCGACTGATTCGTCAAGGACGGCTCTTCAGAAGTTTTGCGGCCCAGGGTAGTAGATAATGAGTACTTTATGGCTTTGCCGATTTTAAACACCCGTTCTAATGGGCTACGCAGAGTAGCGTCGGACGTATTGGTAGTGGTAGGCAAGGTCGTAGTCGCCATGCGCCCACTCTTCTTGATCTTAAAATCGAACATTGGTGTAAATGTATACTGGTTCGGCTCGGAATGCTCAGCGCGCACAGATGGGAGTTCGGTGGTCAAGTATTGGTATCTCAAGGAGTGAGTGCTGCTGTTTTGGAGGTTGAGTCGCCAACTCTAGACAAAGGGCCAGGAACGACAAAGGCGCGAAGGGGAGAATGTATATTAAGAAAGGGTCGCAACTACAGTGAATATACGTCAATACGGCTGCGCCTTTTGTGGGACCAGTGCGTGAATCACGCTGGAAATGACAGACGCTCGTGCACAGGAAGCATCGGCGTACTGAACCAAGACCCCTACCCGAGCCTTGCTGTTTGTCAACAAACTTCTACCATGTGAGTGAAATGAACAGCAAGCGCTTCTACGATCACTGAAGCGGTCACCTCTAAGTTCTGGACTACGTAAGACATCTCGCGGTTCTGTGTCGGCCACATACCACATACCGTGTAGTTTCACACTGAAGGAAATAAGTTAAGGGACCAAGACCTCGCTGTATTGCATTGCAGGTGATGTCTTTG